AGAAGAGCGCAATGATGGTGCCAACTTGGGCCAGTGAAGCAACGTCCTCCACAACTAGATTGAAGAACAAAACGACAGCAACTTGTCTGTTCCCCAATTCCCCAGCACTGTTCCCATCCCCCCAATTCCCCAATAAAAATCTTTAAAAAAAATTTTATAAATGAAATTATGATAGTTTTATTTTCATTTTCAATTTTACTTCAGAGCCACGTGTACTTACCCAAAGAGCTGCATGTGGCTCGCGAGCTGCAGTTTGCCGACCCCTGACCTTGAGTAGCAGCTCCTAGAGCAGCGGTTGTCAACCTGTGGGTCGTGACCCCTTTGGGGGTAGAATGACCCTTTCACAGGGGTCGCCTAAGATCATCGGAAAACAAAAAGATATTTACCTTTCGATTCATAACAGTAGCAAAATTACAATTACAGAGTAGCAACGAAAATAATTTTATGGTTGGGGGTCACCACAACATGAGGAACTGTATTAAGGGGCGCGGCATTAGGAAGGTGAGAACCGCTGTCCTAGAGTATTATGGATTGAATTGTATCCCCAAGACTATATGTTGAAATCCTAACCTCAGGATCTCAGAATATGATCTCATTCAGGAATGGGGTCAATGTAGGTATAATTAATTAAAATGAAGTGATTTGGGAGTAGGGCAGGCCCTTCATCCAATATGACTGGTGTCCTTATAAAAAGGAGCAGTGACACAGTAACAGTGGGAAGAAACCCTGTGATGATGGAGTATAGAGCTATGCAGGTACAAGTCAAGGAACGCCAAGGATGCTTGAGGACAGCAGAGCAATGAGAAAGGCACGGAACAGGTTCTCCCCTAGAGGCTTTAATAGAGCATGATCTTGCCAACAGCTTGATTTCAGAATTTTAGCCTCCAGAACTGTGACAAAATCGATCTTTGTTGTTTCAAGCCATCCAGTTTATTATAGCAGCCCTAAGAAACAGAAAAGGGAGGGAGAGAGAGAAAGACAGACAGAGAGGGAGGGAAGGAGGGAGGGAGGGAGGGAGGGAGAGAGAGAGAGAGAGAGTAGAATTTGCAAAATTATCATCTACTTTCATAATCAGAATAATCTTCAACACTGACCTAAAAACTCCCTTTATCTGTCAGAACAGCCTAAACTATGCTGTGACTGTGGCTTCTTAGACCTTAAAATCATGCTATGTTGGGACATTTTTCACATACAGGTCATACTCATTATGCCCTCAATATAAATATTGTTAGAATTTTCACACTAAAACCACATGAGAGTTTTTGAACATGAGAAATAAATGTTGTCTTGGTTGAGATGCTTAACTCTTTGGTAAATAAGCAATATAAGCTAGCAGCAACTAATAAGTCCCAAATTCCAATATTTATTCTTTTTCTGGTGCTTCATGTCCATTAAAAGTTATCTGGCGTTTCTGCATTGCATCTACTTCATTCCAGGAACCAGAGGCACAGGGAAGTTACCACCTCCCAGATACACCAGAGGCAGGAGGGAAGTTCTCAAGACAGCTAAACACCCCTCCTAACCTACTCAACAAGGATTCTGTTCCCCAATTACTATGTCAGTGGGTGTTTTTGTCACACCATCACAAAATCCTCATACACTAGGTGGTTGTCCTACAATTCAGCTCAGTTCTGACACTACCTGGAGATAAGCTCAGATTCCAATAGTGCACTGTGGCAAAAACTGATCTAAGACAGATTTCTTCAGTTCCTGCTTTGTTTTCACAGAATCTTTATATAGCAGCATTTAGCTGCTGCAGCTAGACAAATCTCACAGTGAGCAGATTCCCATCTTTAAAATGGGATGACTTCAACAGAGTCCAAGAATGGGTGATGGAGACAGACTCAACTGCAAAGAGGCAGAGCCCTGTCCACATCTTTGGTAGACCAGAGTGACTCCCAGGGTGACTCCCAGGCTGTGGAGTGCTCAGCAGAACCTTTCCCTGCTGCCTGAAAGAGACAGTTTTGGAGATGGGGCTGAGAGCAGGACTCTGCTTGGTTCTCTCAAGCCCTGGCTGAACCCCAAGGGATCAGGGCTAGCTGTTTTTTCAGTCTGGGGAGGTTAAGTGTCAGGCTGCAAATGAAAAGGAAGCCACAACCACGCCTATGCCCTCCTGTTTACAAGTATTTGGTTTCCTTTTCAACCCCTACTCCCAGCACAGGAAGAAGAAAAGCAACTGAATACCAGAAAACAGAACTGAAAGCCAAAAGCAGGGGAAGGTAGAGGGGAGGAGTAGGGGGAGGGGGACAGCTGTGGTCGCACAGGCCTTGTTGCAGCCTGGTCCCCCATGCCGGCTGCAGGAGCCTCCTTCCCTTTGGGGCTGCGGTGTCCCATGAAACCTCCCCCAGAGAATGAGGCCAGGAACCCAAGGAAATGTGGGGCAGGTTGGGGGTGGGGATGAGGGTAAGTGTGCCAGGAGGACTCCAGAGCCTGGAGGCGCCTGAGGCCACCGGCCTGGGGGAGGAAAAGAGCGTTCTGCATCTCTCTGCATTTTCATTTGAGCTTCTAGTTATAGCAAAGGAGGAACCATCACCATCAGAGCCAAAAACAATGGGGAAGAGGTGACTTCTCAGGGACTTGCCCAGGGTATGATCTTGCCAGGGACTTCCCAGCAGCCTGAGCATGTGCCCGGGCCAGGCCATTGCGGAATCTGACCAGATGCCTCCCAGAGCCCCTGACTTGCGCCCTTCAGCACAGTTTCAGAACTTTAGTGGGGGTGAGGAGAGTGGGGGATTACCCAGGACCCCTCGCCCCACGGGTCTGGGGTTTAAGAATTCTGGAAAGGCTGCCCCAGGGAAAGGGGTTTCCCTAGTGTTCTAGTTCAGGGTCCCTCCCTCTTTTGTATCTCAGCCCCCTCACCTCTCAACCTCTTTGCCTTGTCTGGGGTGAGAATCTGTAAATGCTGGGCCCTCAAAAAGCATTGGAATTTTAATTGGAAGGCAGAGATCCATTTGGAACTGGCCTGAGCCCTCCTTTGTGTGTGTGTGTGTGCCTGGAACACAAATGCTCTAATTTGGGGGGTGAGCCTTGTGTTTAAACTGGGTCTGACGATCCTCAAGTTCTCTGAGGCTGAGGAGGGGTGTGTTTTAAAAAATAACCTGTTTTTTTTTCTAGGTGTCATAGTAGCTAGGTTAGTGCCACGGTTTTCAGAACATATTTCTCTTTGTTATAGTTTTCATGGTGTTAACCAAACTCAGGTTCAGTGCCGCTTGTGCACGGAAGAGCCCAGAACACGAGAGTGACAAGGGTTGGTGAGGAGAAAAGCCCCTTTATTCTAGATGCCAGCAGCTAAAGAAGATGGCAGACATTTCTAAAACACCACCTTTCCTGAGGCCAACTGATTCAGAGGCTTTAAAGGCAGGTAAAGGGGAAAGAACAAAGGAAAGCAGGCCTCAAGGCTAATAGTTGAGAAGTCTCCTCCTGGGGTCTTCTGAGGCCATTAGCCACTGAGATGGCTCGTAGTCAGTAGCCATCTGTGAAACACTGCTAGGGGTTGTGATCTTGGGCCCTCACATCCCCTGAGGATTAAAGAAGCTGCTCTTTTCAGGATAAGATGTTTGTTAATTAATAAGGTCTGGGTAGTTTTGAAAAAGGGAACAAACAGTGTTTTCAGTTAATCAGTGGGAGGAGAAACAAAGAGAAAGCATGACTATCAGGATGGATCAAACTGCAAACAAACTAAGTCTAACCATCTTGCTGGCTAGATAGTGAGCTCTGTGCTGAGTCAAATCGCAAACCAGCTTAAGTCTAATTGCATTATTGATTCCCTGAATTTCACCCTTACAGTGGTACCATATGATGTCATGGTGGGTGAGAACCCCTTTCCCCTTCTTTAGTTCTCATGCCTAATAATAAAATAAGAAAATTGCCAGAAGACTAGATTAACGAGTAAAAACAACACCTTAATACGTGTGCATGGGAGAATCACAATGTGATGCTTGGTTCATAAAACGAGGTTCAAAGAAATGATGAAATCAGGCACCTTTAATACTTTTTTTTCTTCTTTCTTTCTAGCTGAGCCATCCTGCCACCTGTTGGCAGCTCAGCGGCTGCTCAGCTCGGGCCAGGACTCGAACTGCTGTTTCAGCGGCTGCTCAGCTCGGGCCAGGACTCGAACTGCTGTTGCTCCGAGCTCGCACTCTTGAGCGAGCTCCTAACCAACTGGGCCACTCAGCTGGCCCTTTAATACTTTTAAGACGATAATTTTGTGAGAAATTGACAGTACAAAAAAAAAAAGTTGTGTGCATTAGACAGGAATATAAGCAAGGTTTGGGTATTCATTAATGAATTTAAACAAAGTAATACATTAGAAAAGAGGCAGTAAGATTTGATTAACAGACTTTTTGGCTCTGGGTTATTTAGCGCTAGTGATAAGGAGGTGTCTTCCAGGTGTGGGGAGGGCACCTTTCACATGGGAGATTTATGTCCTGCATTCAAGGAGACAAGGGACGGTCCATGTGCTCTTCTGGCACTGGCTGCTTGTCAAGTAGCTTTAATTCAGACTAATCAATATGCCAGTGTGGGATATTTTGAGGTCACCTGTCTTGGGCCGGACATTCGCCTACTCCAAAACTTCCCTGGAAGCTTCACATATTGAAAGTGGCCTTGGAGAAGGGAAGCAGGTTAAAAGCTGAATGGAGGGCCGGCCGAGTGGCGCGATGGTTAAGAACTGGCTTGGGACGTAGAGGGCCGTGGTTCGGATCCCACATATGAGGGCCAGTGACACTGCCCTCCACAGCTAAGATGCTGAACAACAGCTCAACCTGGAGCTGTGCTGCCGTGAGTCGNTTTTTTATGCTAATATAAGTGGGATTATTTTTTTTGTAATATATTTTATTATATATTATATATATATATATACATATATCTTGTTGCATCTAGAAATGCAACTGATTTTTTATGTATATTTTATATCCTTCAACTTTACTGAGTTCATTTATCTAATAGCTTTATTTATTAAAGTAAAATTGGATTATTTGTATGTTTCTTTCTTCATCCTGATTTCTTCTTTTTTTGTTTCTTTCTCACTCATTAGCAATTATTCCAAATTGGAAAATTCCTTAGGGAGAAAAAAAATTCAGTTTCTCTTTTCTCTGGCTCTTTTGGGCAATGGCTGTCATTTATGAAGCAGTATCTTTTGTGAAATGAGTTGGTGCTGGGAAGTTAAGGTACAGATGCCCTTAGGTATCGATTTTGTGATACATTTAAGTTTTTCTTTCTAAAATTTTCGTGAGATTGACATGATGTTTCTATTTTATAGGTAAAAATCTCCAAAGAAAATGTGAAGCAATTACATCTCGTAGAACAGATGCCAAGGTGATTTATTGCCTCATCATTATTGGGGTCCTAGTTGCAATTGTGATTACACTTCCTATTGCTTTGGCAGGTAAGTTACTTGTTCTTCAAACTTTACAATGTTCATTCTATCTATCTATCTATCTATCTATCTATCTATCTATCTATCTATCTATCTATCTATCTAATAGATACTTATTGAGTTCCATTATGTACCAGGCACTGTGTGAAGTGGTTGAGGTATATCAGACGAACATACTGCAAAACTGATCTCAGGATAGGAAGTAGAAAAATAGATAAAAGAGTTGAGAAAATTTATGTATTATAATTCTTTGTGATTGTCCAACTTTTAGTGAGAAAGTCATTTTATTCATTGAAATTCTTAGCTCCAGATCTCTCTTTGGTTCTTTTTCTTGATTTCTGTCTCTTTGTTAAACTAATCATTTTGTTCATATTGTTTCCTCAATTTTGCTGAATTGTTTTTCTGTGTTTTCTTGTAGCTTTAGTTTTCTCAAAACAACCATTTGAGTTTTTTATCTGGTAAATCACAAATCTCTGTGTTTGGCTTTGGTTATTGAAGGATTACTATGGCCGTTTGCTGATGTCATTTTTGCTGGTTCTTCCTGTTTCTTGGAGTTATGCGTTACTGTGTTCACATGTGAAGTAGCAGTCATCTCCTCCAGTCTTTCCCAGCTGCTTTCAGGTGAGAGATACTTTTTTGTTTGTCCTGCTTATATGCTGAGGCTTCCTTCAGCCTTGAATGGATGCATTTGCTCCACACTTCTTGCTGACTTTTGGCAGAATCTTTAGTTTATATGTCTTTCCTTGATCTTATAACACACTCGTCCAACTGTTGGTAACCTCTTTATTTGAAAGTGGCGCTACAGCTCAAGGTTGTGGTTTCTCCCTTGCTTTTATGCTCTGGCTTATTTTCCACATGTTTTCCTTGTCTACCCAAGCTGGGTCTTTTCACCACTCTCAGGAGTGCCCCCAAGATGCCAGCTGCAGAATGGGGAGAGGTGTGGGTTTGGCACTGAGGGTACTGGGGGCTCACAGGTCAGTTGAGAGGCTCCTCAGATGAAGTTCTCTCAGCAGCTTTTGGGTGAGTGTCCTGCTGGGGTCTGGAGGGCAGTCAGCTGATTCTGTGACCCCTTAAGGTCCTCTGATATTCTTCTCTGCCCCCTTTCCCAATGTCATCCCTCCCTTGAGTCATAGAACTCTTGCTTTAATACTCTGGGTGCTGCAGAAGAGAGAGGCTTTCTTTAGTAGTGTCTGGTACAGTGGGAGGAGCCAGGAACTCACTCATCACTCTGTTTTCCCCATAGGAGGGATTCGAGGTCTCCTTTTTCTCTAAGCTGTGCTGCCTTGAGAGAGGGTGGATGTTCACAAAGTTCCTCTCACCCACTCCAATGCATCAAACTCATTTTTTTTTCCTCCAGTGAAGTGCTGAAACTTCTCCTGTAGAAACCTGAACTTCTACAAAAGTTCTCTTGTCTATGGATAACTGCCCAAGTCAGTGTTTCTCAACCAAAAGGAATTGGAGATGGTTCCTACATTCCTGGGAGTTCCACAGCCATACTGGGGTCTGCCTACCTATTGCCTGATGCACAGGTGAGTGAGATGGCCCCATGTCCTTTGGCGTACGGTACTGGATACCATAGCACCCACAGAGACATTTTTATTCACTGATAGATGCCAAATTTTAAAGGATAAAGAGAGGACAAAAATGAAGGATGTCTTATGCCACCATGATGCTGATGTCATCCTGTAACTTTTATAATTTAAATTAACTTAATTTTATGTATGTTTGTGATAAAAAATCCATGAAATGATTTATACCTTTGTCAGAGGAAGAGCTTAGCCACATTTATATTTCTTAGGTCGACATTTTTTCAAAGGTAGTGATAATTTTAGTTGCGGTTTAGCCTCAGTTCTATATTACATCATACACAGTGTGGTATTAGTTACATGTTACTTAAACTTCAATATTAAAGATACTAGCTCTAGAGGAAAATCTTTAACTCCATTCATTTCACACAATGTATTCCCCTTTCTTCAGATTCTTATTTTCAACTATTCATTGGTTGGCTGGATTTCTTCAACAAGTAATTTATTTTCAGAAACAGATATGACGTATTTAAGTTCCTAATGGTTTCTTTCACATTTGCATGAGAATGGGTGTTAGAACTTGGCTTAATCACTGTTTTCCTCAGACAGTGTAGACATTTAACTTTTGTTTTTAGCAATTGATGTGACTGTGGCAAAGTCTAAGGTAAGGTTTATATTCCCGCTTGTAAGCAACATACTTTTACTTTCTAAATTTTTACTAAATAGCTCCAGTTTTCAAGAATACCAATTTTGTGCATGTAAGTTCTCCTCAATCTTTCTTTCTTAAAAATCATCTTTTTATTATTTATTTATTTATTTATTTATTAGAGATTTTATTGGGGAATCAGGGGAAAGGGAACAGACAAGTTGTTGTTGTTTTGTTCTTCTGTCTAGTTGTGGAGGATGTCTCTTCACTGGCCCAAGCTGGCACCATCATTGCGCTCTTCCTGGGTGAGGCAGATCAGTCGCCGGCTTCTGGACAGCCGAGCATGGTGGCTGCTGGCCGCTCACGCTGGCTGCCGGCTACACATGGTAGCTAATGGCAGCCCACTGCAGCAGGGGACTGCAGCCCATGATGTCGCCGGCGACCCACAGCAGCCCAGCTCCAGGTTGAGCTGTTGTTCAGCATCTTAGCTGTGGAGGGCAGTGTCACTGGCCCTCATATGTGGGATCAGAATCGGGATCCTGGGGCAAATCCAAGCCAGTTCTTAACCAACGCGCCACTCGGCCGGCCCCAAAATCACCTTTTTAATTGCTTTGACTTGGTTGGCAGAGGCAGTTTGACATCTTGATATTTCTAAAATAGTTTTTCTTTTTTAAAGAATATCAGAGAACATTGTTTTCTTTCTGATAAGAATATCAGAAGTGTTTTTCACCTTCTTTTTTTGTGCCAAGTGCTGCCAATATTTTTCGTTTCCTTAAATGTCTTGTCCTTTTAATTTCCTTTGTTATAGAAGTTCTTTTTCAGTCTAGGTTGTCCATAATTTCTTAAAGTATGACATATTTATATAAAATTATCTTTTTTCTCCTGAAACATTTATTCTAATAGAAATTCTTCAACTGCTTTTGGAATCTTTGAGGCTAATTTTCATGGGAAATGCAGTAAAACAGCGTGAGGGGAGTCTGTATGTATCAGTCCCTTGTAAGTTATTCTGGACATTCCTCATTGTGTATCGGAACAGCTTTCCAAGCTAGTCATTTATTCAAAGATAGTTTTGGAAGGGAAAGAAATAGTAATGTGGATGAGCCAGGAATTTTCTTTCTTTTTTTATTTTTTAGATTTTGTTGGGGAATTGGGGGAGGGGGAAAAGACAAATTGCTGTTTTTGTTCTTGAGCCTAGTTGTGGAGGATGTTGCTTCACTGGCCCATGTTGGTATCATCATTGCTCTCTTCTCGGGCGAGGCAGATCGGTCACCAGCCTCTGGACAGCCGCTCATGGCAGCTCTTGACAGCTCACACCGGCTGCCAGCTGCCGGCTGGTCACTCTGGCTACCAGCTACACACGTTAGCTTATGAGCCAGAAATTTTCAATTGTATACCAGGTGTAATATGATACTGTTGAAGGATTTTAAGGAACAGGTAAACTATACATGCACCCATTAAGAATGAAAGTAGAATCTGTGTGAAATATAAATGAAGAAATTATACAAATATGATACCATTTTCAAACCACCAAGAAGACAAAACATCTATTGTCTGTCTCTAAACACCCATGCAGAAATCCTTAATGTCAGCTGAGTTTCAGAGTAGTCTTTTCTGATGGCATTCAAACTGTCTCCATCTCTGGACCCCTATGGATTCTTTAACTCTTTTTTTTTTTTTTTTTTTTTTCTTTTAAATTGGAGAATTGGGGGAGGGGAACAGTATTTGGGAATTGGGGAGGGGGACCAGCCAAGTTGTTGTTCTTCAGTCTTAGTTGTGGAG